AGCCTCCAAAAGGGAGAGACCAAAAAAAAAAAAAAAAAAAAGAGCTGAGGGAAGAGCCGTGCCAGGCTTTGGCATGTGTTTGGGCGGGGGGGAGAGAGGGGGCAGAGTTTAAACTTCCTCCACCCGCGAGGGAAGGAGGAAACGCGCCCTGTGTTGTTCCAAGGCCGTGATTGGAAGAGAGTAATTAGCAGCCCTCGCTCTTCACCCCCCCTCCCATGTCGAGCTCACCTTCTCGGCTNTCGTTCTAGTTCTCCAGAGGAAGCGGGACCGGGGGGGGGGCGGCGGCGGCGGTTGCTCAAGGCAAGGCCATCCTAGCGCCGGGCAACTCAATGGGGAAAAGAGAACGAAGGGGGCCGCGCTCTTTCCCTTCCTTTCGGTTCGGGCCTTTCAGCTCAGCTTTGGCGGAGCAAGGATGACACATTCTCTCTCTCTCTCTCTCTCTCTCTCTCTCTCTCTCTCTCTCTCTCTCTTTCTCTCTGGCCCCGCCCACACTTCAGGCCTGGCTCCTCCCCCTGGCCGGAGGTTCTGTCCACGCCCCCTCCCGTGGGCTCCCTGTCACGGCGGGTGGACGGGAAGGGCAGGGGCGGTTCCCATTGCTAAAGAGAGTGGGGGGGGCGGTGCGGTGCACGGAGAAATTCCCTCTGCCACCTCCCGCCCCAGCCGGTCTCCAGAAGCGAGTGAAAGGCCTTCCTAAGGAGGCAGCCAAAAAAAAAAAAAAAAAAAAAAAAAAAAGGGTTCTGTGGTTTCAACTCTGTGAGTCCTGGTGTCAGTACACCACTATTCCACATCATATAGTAATCAAAGTAATTTTACTCTCAGGCCAGGTATGAAGAGATTTAGGCGTATATCCCTCAGCTTCACATGAATGTCAGTGTTGTCTTGCAGTAAGCAACCAAAGGCTATGCAGTGACAAGGCGAGAAACTGGCCTGGAAAAGTTGCTGAAGGAGGCGACGCCCCCTAGTGCCCGCCTCCCGCCAGAGGTTTTACAAGGGCCAACCTTGAAGCCCTGTCGACCTGCAGCGATGTTAAATGGTGTTACCTTATACATTGCTATGTTTAAAGGGGACGGTAAGGAAGAAAACAATTTGGCCTTAAACAGTGGATTGCCATTCGGGGACACGCCTTCCTTAATTAAAAAAAAAGTCGAGCCAAGCAAAGTTTCATCTAGAGTAAGCAGTTGGACAAGCAGTATTTAAGATAACCGACTGATTAAATGAATGCTCCACAGTGAGCTACTTAGTAGTAGACTTTTGTTCTTTTACATAGGCAATTTAAGGTATAAAGGTTTCTGATTGAAAAGTTATACAGTAACCCATGGTGACGAAATGCATACAAGACAACACAGAATGATTTGCTGTCTATAAACCTAAGGGATATTGCACCGCACCATTTAAAGCCAAGACAAGCGATAAGATTGTTTCTTCTTAAAGTTACCTTGTTTACTAATTAACTAAATTTCTTGAGATTTGTAATGCTTCTGGGCTAGTTTTTTTTAAAAAAATAAAAAGTTATTAACAGTTTAGACAAAGACTAATGATATAAAAATGTAAAGCCCACAGTATAAATTAAAATTGGATCACATACAAAGATGGCGAAATGCCACTTCTCACCAAAACTCCTCCTATGCATTGTAGAACTGAATCATTTCACTTTGTGCCCATTCAGATAAAATCACATTAACTAATATGGTAAAACTAATGCGTCAGATGTTTCCTTTTACTTCTGGATTAACAAGTTACCAGGATCTTTGTACCTTCTTGCACATTTTGTAAAGTTTATAGAATTATTTGATTTGGTTTCTGTAAGCACAGTAATTAATACCCCAACTATTTTGGACTGCATTTCCCATAATTCCTTTTAACTGACTGCTGGGTAGGTATTGCAAAACTGAAAAGAGAGCTGGAGGGTCACAATCATCCACCGCTTGCTATTATATATGCGATTAAAATGGAAATTTAAGCAGAAAATTATTAGGGCAAATTCACTGAAGTTACAGTAATTGTGCAATATCTTTATAATATTCAGTGTTTGACCAATGCTTCCTTATGAGCTGTCCTTGTATAGTTATAAAAATGTTGCATTGGTAATACAACTTATTTTAATTCAATGTAAATATTTTTCCAGGAGGCAGTGGAAGACAGGAGGGCCTGGCATGCTCTGGTCCATGGGGTCATGAAGAGTCGGACACGACTTAACTACTAAAGAACAAAAATACTTTTCTGCTTAAGGTGTAAGCAGATGGAGTGCTTCTGTAACAAAATGTGTATTATGGTGCCACCTACTGGGACATTTAGAATATTTCCATACAGATTTACATTTCAGGAAGTTGTTGCATATGAGCTGAGCCAATAATGCAAAGAAGTTAACCCTGCACTTTGGTTTATAGTAAACTGATACATGGCAATATCTCACTATTTTGTAACTGGAGCTGGCATTTTGTTATTTGCCACTACACATATTAGATAAAGAACACCTATTGTTAAAATGAATTTGTTTTATATTCCTATGTTTACTGTGTGTTTTATCATCAGATGTGAAAAATATTTTCATCTAGTCAGTCTGACTTGTTACAAAAACATTTAATGCAAAAAACAGCAAAACATGTTGTGAAAACAACTAAGGTTGTATCTATCTCTAAACAACATTTCTAACATGCAAGCTATATTGAATAATAATGTTTTATCAGTCAACCCTCTGGAATAAGTTGGTGCTGAATTTATTCATTTTTGGCAAGTAAATAGTAGCTTTACCAGCTGAATGGTTCGGTAAAAAGACATGTTTTATTTTGAGCACTGTAACACTCACTTAAGGAAGAATAGCAAACATAACCGTGGGTGTTTTCAGCATTCTAATGCTGAACGCTTAACCAGCAGGGGCAATCAAGTACTTACATGTGGAAAAGCTAGTATTTGTGGCTACAGAGGGAAAGAATGCTTCCAAATAATTAAGCTCTTGTATTTAACCATGATTAAAAACTGAATTCACTTCGGAATTGATAAAAGATATCTTTCTTCATTTAGGATGATTTTAAAACTTGACCGACATTATTAGGAAAATTTACTTGTGCACAAATCTTGGTACACAAGGAAAATGACAAGCATTGCAGAATTGGGTAACAGCAGAAAACACCTGTAAAATCAGCAAATCATATCAACAGGTGGCCAGCACCTGACGCATGGAAAATCAACAGTACAATGGGTTTTGCATCCTAGAATAGCTGCAACAAAATTTGCTAGGCCTGAGTAAGAAGGCATGCCCACAGAAGGAATCTTCTGCATTACATTTTAAGTCAATCCAGAAACAAAGACGTTTCTGATGCTTGTTGATAACAGTTCCTTGCAGACTGATGGACACAAAACAAATGCTCAAATCCTTGTGCCCACCATGTGGTTAAATATGACTGACAGGGACCAAGTTGTCAGTGGTTGGGTTTTCAGGTTTTTCTTGTTTAATGTAAACATCAGTCCCAGCTCCCAGCAAACTTAATATTTGAAGGCAAACTGATACTTTTTCATTCTGAATAACTAATTTTGTGAATTCTACAGTTTTTGAAAATTCTGGAGTAGGAGGCAATTCCCTAAGACGCTGTGTCACAAGCTCAGCTTGACCAGATGCAAATCTCGCCAGCTGATGCAGCTTTCGTCGATTACATGGACTGATGTGAGACACTGGCATGAGCAGGAGGTGTTTCTTGAGCTGCTGCATTTTTTTTAATTCTTCTGCCCAAAAATTTACTTGTCCTTTGTCAAACACATAAGCATTTCCCACCTACACAGAAAGTAAAGAAAAGCAGCAATAATCAGAGCACTGACAATGACATAGGATGAACAAGGCTATGCAATGCTATACTTAACTGATGTTAGATACAAGTGCAATCTGACACACATTTACTTGGAAGTGTGTCTCATTGTACTTAATAGCAGGAATCCTGTTGAATAGGTATGCAGGTGTAACTTAATTTTGTGCCTGTGATTGCTAAATCACACAAAGGTGATCTAGATGAAGCACGCCTGCCAGTGCATTGTGCAGGTGGTCAAAAGGGAAACCATGCAACCAATATGCAAATGGCTTACATAATCCTTTTTGCCAGAGGAAAACAACCACACATTTACAACTGTGTAATGTTATGTTACTCTTGAAAAGAACAGGGTTCTGCCAATAGGTCTTACTGCCACGTGAATATATGTTGGGTATCTATCTAAGAAAGTTAAAATCAGAAATATATGCAGATACAGCTTTATATAGATACAGTAGGAGTCTGATATTCACAGAGGATTGGTTCTAAGCCCCCTGCCCCATGGATGCTGAAAAGCCTGGCTATAGAAACACTATAGAGAAAGAGCAAAGTCTCTGCTTCCCTCTAGTGGTAAGTTCTGGTAATATACCTTGGAAATGTATTTCTAGGGAGGGATTATTTAATATTTTCAGGCAGCAGGAAAGTGAACCCGTGGGTACTGATCATGCAGATACAGTAATCCTACAGTACTTGTGTAGACAAACAGACAAGCATGGATTCATAGAATCGCAGAGTTGGAAGAGACCACAGGGGCCATTGAGTCCAACCCCCTGCCATGCAGGAACTCTTTATCAAAGCACTCCTGGCAGATGGTCATCTAGCCTCTGCTTAAAAACCTCCAAAGAATGAGACTCCACCACACTCTGGGGCAGCTTATTCTACTGCCAACCAACTCTGTCAGGTTCTTCCTGAGATTCAGGTGGAATCTCTTTTCCTGTAGTTTGAAACCATTGCTCCGTGTCCCTTCCTCGACATGGCATCCCTCCAGATATTTAAACATGGCTATCATGTCCCCTCTTAACTTTTTTGTAAGGCTAAACATTCCCAGCTCCCTAAGACAGGACATGGCTTCTAGATGATTCTTCACATGATGAACGTGACGTGGCATAACTTTTGTTACAAAGAAATAGCACATGAGAAGAAATGATTATATGTGAAACACCCCTCGGAACAAGGATAGGGAAACCCTACCTTTTACCACCCTGACCCTGCATAGCCAAGGGGGTTATAAAACACTTGAAGGGCCAATGGGACCCTCACTGTGCCTAAGAAAAAGTTATTTGGAAGTCATGAGGACATGTAGCCTAGCCACTACTTTTTTGTTATCACTTTTCTATCACTTTTCTATCACTTTCAGGCTGTTATCCATGTGCTTAATTGTTAAGGAATATGTGGCTTTTGTTTCCATGGGGGTGGTGGTAAAAAACAACATCAAATTTAGAATCTCCTATCAGTTTTTAAAACCTAAATAAAGTGCCACATCATGGAATAGTAAGGAAGGAAATGTTTGCACCTATTTGTACCAGTCAGGTTGCAAAGGTGTTTATAAAACAGTGCTCTCTATCGTACCAACTTTAGAAAATGGTTTCTAAAATGTGGAATATGCCTAAATGAGATAAGTGTATTTTGTATGGGTATGCACAAGGCTCAAATAACTGACAATTGCTTTATAATGTGTTTGAATAATACATGCCATTATTTATTCATTCATTCTAAAATGTAGACCCTGTTATATTAAAATGCAAACTCAGGGCAAGCATATGTAAGACTCTATGCATTATTTCTCTCTTGACATTCACAAATGTATTCATTATTACCTGTGAGAGATACATATGCTGAATTTTCCATAAAGAAAATAGAGTAACTGAACGTTCTAGGAGCTTCTTCTCCATAAGTTGCTTCTGTTAAACTGAAACAACTACTGTACTGGAAGAATTTCATATCAGGCTGAACTCTAAATAAAGGAAACCGTAAGTAGTCCAATGGTATGCTTGGCAGAATAATGCTAAGTCAGCTGACGCCTCAGTGTTTCACACCTATTTTGTAATCCAATGTAATCAGCATGACTGTGCTTCATGATCATAAAGCATTTGGAATGTTTGGTGTTTTTTAAAAAAATGAATATTACAAGTTGATCAAATGAAAACAAACCCATTGGCTTATATTTTTCACATATTCTCAGGTTCAAATATCAGATATTTACTCAGAAGTGCAAACCTACCAGGAGTTTAGTTCCTAGTGTTGCTAGTATTTATGGACTGTCTAAACCCAAAGTAATTCAAAAGCTAAATTAATTTTAACTACCAGACATCCAGGTCTGCGGGGCATTACATACACAGCCTTATTGAAGCACACGGATTATTTCAGTGACCTGGTTATTATCCACCCATTACAATGCCCATGGAGAAAAAGACTGCTGGAATGGGTACCACTGAGGGTATTCTGCTCCATTAAACATTACACACAGCAGGAAGTTATGTTCTCTGTTTGAGACTGAGGGTTTCTCCTCTTGTTACAGGACTCCCTGGGTTTGACATCAGGTAGAAAAAGGTTCTGCATAGATTCTGCAAATACATTAGATTTCACACGACAGTAAAGGATGATTCTTTTAGGAGAGACCTCCAACAGTACTATACACTGCGAAAACATAGCAATAATACATTTGTAAGGCATGGGATGGAATGCTTTTGTAACAGTAGATTTCAACAGACCCAAAAAGAGGGCAAGGTGTTCAAAGTAAGGTCCTGAAATTCACCATAGGTTAACCTTTTTTGTGGAGTAGATCTATTGCCACCATGTGTACAGTATAGGCCTGGTTCAAATATAACTATGGACTAAAAAACTAGTTTGTTCCTGTTTGCCAGTAACTGGATACCATTTACATTCCTTGATTCTACCATCATGCCCAACTTGAATGCACTGGTAGCCAGTAAGCCCTGAGTAGGTCTGATAATGACAGAACCTTCTGGAGGTCATCAATTCATAAGGTTAACACAAGTCAGGAATGACTTGATGGCATATAACAACACTATGTTCATCCTAAAATGTAAAATAAGACGGCTAATGTCAATATTTATTTTATAGTAAATCCATGTTCTTTTAAAAAAAAACTGTTTAGCAAGAAATCCAGTAAAAGCTTACTGATTACATTGGGAACAAAAAGATTCTAATTATAGATGAACAGTAGAGTTACCATGGATGTAGTCTCTAATTCTCCTAAATCTTCTTTTTCTAACAACCACTCCAATAAGATTGTAACTCCAGCATCAGTTTGCTGCCACTGCTGCAGCATTTCACACAGTATGGAAAATGTTAAATCTAAAGCCATTTCTGCATTTACCACACGGTATTCAAGCTCTGCAGAGAGAAAATAAAGATACACAGTGAAAGAGGCATAAATACATATACATACATATGGTCTTTTTAAAAAGTTTTTTTTTATTGTGTTATCGGCATTTCAAAGTATCTTAGATCTTACTGGCAAGACAAGGCAGGTCATCTGTTCTGCCTTTTGGAGGGAGCCACAAGGTAATCTTAAATTTCATTACTTACCTGTGAGAAATCAAACCTACTAGGTCCACACTATCCACAGGCACTGCCATGAACCCACCATGGTGATTCCTACTGTGCAGCATGATGCAGTCATGGTGCAGTGAGAGCAACCTTGGGAGCCTAATCTTTTGTGGGAATTACACCTCAGAACAGAGGCAAATTTCTATCCCAAGTTAGCCTGCACAGAATTTGGCACTGATGACCAATGTACCCTATATTTACAATCAGTCAATTTTCTGCCCCACTGGGCAGGGCTCTGCCTTTCATGCCCATGACTCCGCCCCTTACGTGCAGGGTTCTGTCGCAACAGGAACCTAACTATTGCTGCAGAGAGCTGCACATAGGAAGGCAGAGTTGTGCGCATGCACCCGGCTTAGAAGGAACCTTGCTGATCACTGTCTGATGGCATCTAGGTGCTGCATACAGATGTTCACATGGTTGGTTTTCCTATTTAAAATAAAGATTGCAATTGATGTCCTGAACTCTACATGCACAGACAACTTTCAAAATACCCCATTCTAGGCAAAGGAGAGAAAGAAGTATGATATGTCCAAGTACAACTACATTTCTCGAATGCCAGCTTTAAAACCTGCCCTTTAATTTTCATTATCAACATCAATGCATATATTTTTGTTGCAGGTGCACATCTACAACTTACACTTGCTTCAGAGACAGACATAAACACACACCAAATTAAGAATTCTGTTAACTCTACTCCCTAAATATTAATTTTCTACTATAAAAAAATTATCAGTCAATTCACTGTATGAATACAAAACAAAAGCAACCAGTAACCAACCATTCCAATCACCGTGTCTGTACATAGGCTAAACTAAGATTCCCAGATTAATGGCAGTACACCAGAAGTGAGTGCAGACACTCGGCTGACCTCTTGCTCTGCGTGAATGGGTAAAATTAACTGGGAAGCTTATGCTGATGTTAAAAACTGGAGATCCAGGTTTACTGTTCCCAAACAAGCTAGGATTTGTAAGTCAATGAACCACAGGCTGTTGCTGGCATATGAAAACTGGCTTGTTTGGGAAAAACAAATTATGATCCTAGATTCAGATGTCACAATAAGCAATCTGTTCTTGGTTAGTGTTACACATTTGTGTGAAAAAGCTGTGTGTACCCCAAACGTAATCCCAGAATCCCCAGAGTTCCAGCTTACTATTACACGTCAAAGCAGCCTACACAGAAAATGCACTAGAAGAAAATTTAGTGATCTTTTAAATTTGATTATTTAATGTGATTACAAAATGAGTTATAAGATTTCAAAACTGCAGATATGAAACAAAGCAAAATGTCAAACACCTAGAAGGTAAGTATCCTTCTTCACAAAGCTATTTAATTTGTCAGAATAGAAGGCATCTTTTACTTCTTCAGTGTTCAACTGTATGAAAAGTGTAAGAATGTACACTACACACTTCAAATGAAAACAGAATTTTTTTCTTCTTAGGAAAGTATTTTAAGCTTCAGGAAGAGCACTTTTACAAAAGGTAGGAGCTGCCGTGTTTTGAGTCATCTTTGCTAATCCATTTAATGTAGAACAAGACCTCCCACACACATTCATAAACCAGAAGACTTTTGATCATGCTGGATGTAAACATTTCTCTTGGTAGACTATTATGCGCCTCCAAAAATATACAAACATTTTCTTTTTCATTCTTTTCCTCAAAAGCATATTGTTAAGAACTAACAACCTATTTTCAACCTTATTGATGAGTCAAATATAAGTACTATGAAATCATAATATATAACCTGCAGTTTTTAAAATGGGATACAGTTAATGAGAACAAAGAAATTCAAGGGTTCTGTGTTGTAAAAATAATTTCTCCCTCAGTTTATGCGAGGAGCTGTCAAATCATAAATTAATCTTGGCACAAAGAATAGCATGCCTGTTAAGGTATATAATTTTTATATAGCCTGAACATAATATGTGTGTGTGCAGAACAAGATTGAGATGACGTCTTTCCTTCATCCCTGGCTGATGCAATTTCTCTGCAATATGAAGATTGCCACACCTGTGTGCATGAAGTCACCTTAGACGGGATTGGACCAGACTGATGCCAGAATTGTATTTAAGAAATGAACTCTGTACAGTCGTTCTCTTCTCCTGTGTACTGATGTCTGCATGTCATGCTGCCGGTTTGAATACTGAATACTGAAGTGCTGTATGTATATATATCCTGTATATATTTTGTAAATACACTGCTGAAAAGAAGAAGCTGTTGTGTGCGTTTATCTGCTCTTTACTCTGCGAGAGACAAGATAAAGTCACAGACGCACACTCCCTTAACAATGCCTTGCAGAAAGATAGTGTTTAATGCAACTATAAACAAATAATGCAGCCAGTTAATTCAGTTAAACAAATCTGTGATGGGATTAAAAGTGGAAGTGCAGTGTTCTGTGAAATAAAAACTCCTCCCCATGAATTTATCACCACTTCTCCATTAAAAGAAAATCCCAGTTGTGCTTAGTATGTAGGGTAGTGGTGGAAGACAGGGATTGTTTTTTGATGGTAGATGGGATGTCAACTAATATTTAGGAGGATATAATATGGAATTATATTGGAGGCAATCCAGAATAAAAGGTATTTAAAAATTCTGTTACTCACAGAAAAAAACAGTGACATGACAACTACTGAGGAAGGCTAAAGAAGAAAATGCAAAAGCAAGATTACAGTTGAACATTAAAAAGACAACAAATATATATAGAGAAGAATTATGTCACTTTAAGGTTGACATTGAAGACACTGAAATTGTTAAGAATCTTCATATCTCTGTTCAGTCATCAATACAAATGGAGACCACAGCCAAGGAATGAGATTAAAAGCACTGCTATGAAGGAAATAGAAAATATCCTTAAAAGTATGGACATGTCACTGGAGATCAAGAGCCAGATCATTTATACTAAGGTATTCCCAATTACTATGCATGGATATGAACGCTGTACGGTGAAGAAAACTGAGGAAAAATAATTCATTTGATAAAGCATTGAAGGACAGCTGTATCAATACCATGGGCTGGTTTTCAATGCACTACTAGTATTTCTCAAAGATGCAAGGAGACTTGCACAGACTTGAGAAAATGTTGCTCCATTCATGTGCGTGAACCATGTACTGAGCCTTCAGGGTATGCCATATTTTTCTGTCTATAAGATGCTACTTTTTCCTAAAATCATTACATTAATAATTGAGGGGAGTCTTTTACACAGAAGAAGCCTAGAGTCGAACACGACTGGACAAAAATTGTCAAGGGGAACCTTTACCTTTACCTAAGCTGAGACAGCTGAGGAGAGAACAAAACGGCACGTAACTTGCCTCTGTAAACAGGCTTCAGTCACAAGGCTTAGCTTCCTACAGTCAGGAAACTTAGCTTCCTCCAATCACGAGCCTTATGGAACTGACGTCACGTGATCCTGAACAAACCAATTGGAACACAGCTCCTTGGAGGTGGAGTCTGTAGGTTCAGATTCATCAGAGACTCAAAATATCCAATGTTCTGAGCAGAGGCTGAATCCTCAAAGCTAGGTTTGCTTAATTTGGGGGTTAGAAAATTGGGGGGGGTTCCTATAAATGGGGACATGTTATAAACAGAAAGATGTGGTAAATTGGGCTCTTCTTTCCCCCCCAACTGCTACCCAGGAGTTGTGATTCCCAAGCCAGCTTTAAAAAAAAAAATCAGAAAAAATTGGGCCACTGAATCTATTGGTAGCAGAAATACATCTCAATGAAAGGACTAATAAAGTGCTAGTCTGATGAAGCCAAAGAATATTCAAGTCAGACATTTCAAAATGCATGTGAAAAGGTTTGCAGATTAACAACTATGGCATTGGCTGAACAATGAACGACACAGAATCAATCATATTTGTTCCTCCTCCACATTCTTACAGCATGATTTAATAAAACCTTTCAGGTAGTTTAATAGCAGCAAAGAGGGTCCAATGGCCAAAACTCTCAAACCCCTTCACATTGTATTTATTTTTTAAATAGTCCTGTTACAAAATAATTGCAGGCACTAGCAATTCCATGCAGGATATACTTAGGACATTTTACAACTTTTCTTTTTTTATCTAAGGTTATATGAAACTCATTTGGTCAGTAGGGGGAACCACACACCCCAACCTTTCTTGCATTTTTGACTAACTGTTACAATATTTATTAAATTCCTTTGGTAAAGAATTTTTGTGAATCGCAGTTAGCCATCTTTTTTCCCTCTTGAAACCTTGTACCAATCTGGAAGCTAAGTGTGGAAAAAAAGCACATGGTTGCTAACACAATAAAGAAATTCTGGAGAACAACAAAGTTTAAAAAAGAGAGAAAGACTGGAAAATATATGGGCCAAGAATTCAGCTACCAAATTATATCCTTTATCCTCAGACTATATTCTTTACTCCAGAAACACCGCTTGTCAAAACTGAACATTTGTACTTTAAGTTCTGACAGCACTTCATTAATATTACCAGCAACCATAAACGGAACACATGCAAATACTGGGAATTACTTTCTCCGACCTGATGGCTTTTAACCTCAAAAGCCACTAAGCTAGAAAAATCCAGTGGATTGTTCAGCCCCAACCACAATGTTTGACTTTAACGGCCGAATAAGAATGGCAAGGAGTACAAACTTCCAGTCCAAACAAAGTTTTCCATCTGGTAGACAATAGTAATGCTATTTACTCTAATCACATCCATTACCAGATACTCAGTGCTACTTACCCAGGACAGAAAGTGCAAATAATATTTAGGCAAAAATGATACACAATTCAAAATAGTTACAGAAGTTGAAATATTAGGCATGAAAC